ATTGACATTGTGGCTTGGGGATGGAAGATATCGCATGACTTGTTACGTTTTGTATGGGCATGCTGGTGCTCCATGGAATGAATCTTTGCGACAGCAAACGCATTCAATGATTCAAGCAGTTTTGGATGATGCTGCAGAAAAAGGTTTGCCCGCTATTTTTGGTGGTGACAACCTCCTGCGAAGACTGCCGCAGCTTGACTGGACGTCCCTCGCAGATATGGTTCAATTGACAATTGACGGAAGAACCTACATGTTACAAAGGCAAAGGAAGCACAATTGATTTTGTATTCGCAAATCCGCTGGCATTAATGGCCTTGAAAGCTTTCTCATTTGCAGTCGACAAGGCCTTGCTGATCATGTACCGTTGTGCTGTGAATTTGACCAAGGTGTTGCTAAACAACTTGTGCTGCGCAATCGTCAGTAGTGCTCTCTTCCAACGAATTATGATTATTCCACTGTTCAGCCACTGAGCAATGCTGTTTGCAGTCTTGGACCCGCCTTTTATGAGGCTATTGAACAACAAGATGTCACCACTGCATGTCGTCTTTGGAGCGCATTTGCTGAGCAACATCTTGCGGAATTCTGGAATCGCTCCAATCCAATTTTCGCAAAGGACGTGGCACACTACGTCTGACATCTAATGCCAAGTGAGGATTAATAATGCCCCCCGATTTATCAACAGCAACTGCCAAAAAAAAAATGTAATTTAAAAACAGGTGGTCCCCCCAGATTAATAAATACTTTGGCCTACCCCCGATTAATCAACCACCAATTCTGAAATCCATTTTTTTCTCCAACATTTTTTCCAATTCTATTTATTTCCACGTGTTTTTTACCTTTTTTTTTAAATCATCATTGCTATACTTCAGGTTTAAGTTGATCATTGAAAATTTCAAAAAACAACTATTCCCCAAATGATCGATTTCTAATTAAAATCTTTCTAAAAATCATCAGTTTGGATAGCTCCCAAAGGGTACCCCCCATGAGCCCATGTCCCCCATTAATAATAACCAGGGTTTGCCCCTGATTAATCAACCACCTTTCTGATCCATGAAATTTGAACAAATCCAATGGAATTCTATTAAGATCTAGTTGACGTAAGCCATATCCAAAGTTTTATGGTTCAGAGTTGCTTATTATTAAGGGGTTGTCAAGAAAACTAGCCAGAAGGTACCCCCCTACCTTCCGGGGGGGGTTATTAATCCGGTGTTGGCATTTGGCCTCAGGTTCGACGCTCTGGACCTGCTTCTTTGACAGTCCGACTGCCTCCGATGTGGAGTATGACAAGTGGTTGCATGATCTGCGGGACACTTGGCGGAATTCTGAGTTCCGTCGTGTTGCTCGTGACCGCGCTGCATTCCGTGGGCTGGAAGATGGAGTGTACCGCGCTGATACATTGCAATATTTACATGAACTTGAAGAACATGGAAAAACTTTGGATGCTGCATCCCCCACCCCTTTTCAAGAAGAATGCCCATGCGTGCTGCGGTTCTGAGACTCCTTCTTACCGGCTGTTTGTTTACACAACATGTCATTTCACAACACAGGCAAAAGACTGCGACTGTGAGCATGGGGGCATCCTTGACATTGAGCACGTTTCTTGGCATTGCCGCCACTATGACAAATTTTCGAACATTGTTGACACCGGATATTTGGAACTTGGTTAGTGCATGCAAGCCTTGCTTTCGCTACGCTACAATCGTCACAACCAACGGGCCATGTCAAGGTTTTACAGCAGATGCTCGTATCTATTTGGCAAGAAAACATATGGAATTATTTGGGATTTAATGATGTTGCTGCACCCTCCAGTGAAACCAACCTGTCTCAGACTGCAGCGCTGGCCGCCAAAGGCTACATTCTTGAAAACGGGCACTGGACCGATTCAGCAGTAGGTGGAGTGTTTTGTCGGCTTTGTGGGGTAAGTGTTAAGGAAGTGAAACATTGGAGACTCAAAAAAATTCCTACCGGCGTTGCACATTCGCTGACATTCCTGAAAATGAACTTCTTGCTGCTCCTGGTTTTGAAGTTTTGATAGTAATCCTCATAGACTGGCCGCACTTTTTGGATCACTCGACTCATGGACATGAACTATGCTGGGATAAATCTATGTCGTGCAAACCTCCAGTCGGTCAAGTGAAACGTTTGAAATGCAAGAGAAGCTGGCCTTGGAACAACCGGCATAACCTGACCAGACAACCTTGCCGCCCCATATACGAGAGACCCTACACCAGATCAATGGTTGTCCATGAGACTTTTGAAATCTGATCGGCTTACTTTTCTTCGACGTCTTGGTTTACCCGTGCAAGATGCTCCAGTCGGACGACGTTTGCGTTGTAAGACACGGGTCAACAGTGTTTCAAATGTGTCCTCTTCTTCTTCGGCGCCTGCAGCTTCTTCTAAGGGATTCTGTTGATGCAGCCCAATCCGATGATGTGCTTCGCTCCGCTTGGCGGATTTTTGATGACATGGGTTGAAAGACAACTGACAGGGGTTATGCGGCACCTGCCCATCTTCCCCCGACAAGACAAGATTTTGGGACCCTGCAGGCTCCGCGGCGCCTAAACATTGTCCTGGATGCACATGCCGCGGGTGAATGGTGACAATGTGGCGAGACGGTGTGCATCTTGCCTTTATCGCTACTTTCGGAAGGTCTTTTATGACTCCGACATGCCCATCCTTCTGATGATGCTTCTTTGGCTTCGTCACCTTGTGATTGGATCTCTCCACTTTGCACTTTGCTCCTGATGGGGCTTTTGAATCATGGTTCTTCAAGAACATCAATACTCCTCGATATTTGCTGATTCGCAGACAGGTTGGATGCAGGCGTTTTTCACGAGCCGTTTTGGCGAGAACGACGTTTCCGGAAATCACGATTGACTGCTTCGTCCACTTGCTTTTGTTGTGGTCTTCCAATATGGGCCCATAATTTGTTGATGTTTCAGTCGAATTGCTGTGAGCACCCTTTGATGGATCTTCATGTTTTGTGTTGCTGGCACCTTTCCCGACAATTGTGCAGCGGCATGATGCACGTTTCTAATGGCAATGGCATGCCTAAAGGCAATCCGAAAGGCAAAGGAAAAGGAAAAAATGACATATATGGCGCAGTAACTTCATACATGACCTTGGCGCCATATTCACAAATTCAGCTTGGACATTTCAAAAAGGTAACAATGAGCACATCCGAACTCGAATTAATCTTGCACTGTGCAACAGCATGACGCTTGCACATGTCACTTGTATGCAAATTGTTCGTGATTCAAATTTACCTGGTCATTGTCCAGTGCGAGTTTCTCTTGACTTTGCACCTCATTTGGACAATAAGATGGTTTATCGTTCACAAATAAAAAATACCGGCTTTTTGCATTTTGGAGCATCAGGTCTTCAGGTTTGCCAAGATAATTTTGCGTGACAGGTGCAGCACTTCGTACGACCTTGCATCACATTTTGCAGCACTTTACACAGATGGAGCGGAAACATCGCAAAGCACATTTGTACGAGGCCGTCAGCTCTGCACTCAACTTTCCATTTCTGAAGGTAGTGTCGTAGAATTGCTTAGTTTTTGATGTTGTCAACTTCGAAAATTGACGGAAGTCTCGCAAAATTGCTTCGTTTTGGACGTTGTCAAGTTCAAAAATTGAGGAGAGGAAGTCTCGCGGAATAGCTTCTTTTTGAACTTGCAGAAAGACAAATAGATCGATAGACAATACAACTGCAACTACAACTACAACCACACTACACTACCACTACAAAAAATAAATACTACGCTACAGTACACTAATTACACTACACTGCACTAATTACACTACACTGTGCTAATTACACTACACTACACTAATTACACTACACTACACTAACTACACTACAAGTACAACTACTGTCACTACTAAGGCTACAGCTACAACTACACATACAACTACACTACACAAATACATCGCACTACACTACGCTAGACTACAACTACACCTCAAACTACAACAACTACATTACATTACACAACGCTACACTACACTAATTACACTACACTACGCGACAAATACAACTCCAACTCCAGCTACGGCTACGGCTACAACTACACTACACCACAACACACTACACTAATTACACTACACTACACTATTCCCTGAACTACACTAATTACACTACGCTACACTACACTTAACTACAACTACAGCTGCAACTACAACTACACTACTTTACACTACACTACTTTACACTACACTACACCAGCCTACACTACACTAGACTACACTACAGCACACTACACAAGACTACGCTACAGCTCACAACACTACAGCGCACTACACTACATCTCAGTGCATTCGCTCTGCCATCCAAGCATCACAACAACTCACCTATCCTTGAAACTTCCGCCACCGCCTTGTGCGGCACTACTGGTATCTTTCAAATAACTGATAGCACTTTGCAACATTCAGAAGTCATCAGGACAAAACATCAGCGATACTGGGAAATGTCTGGTTTAGAATTTAATGGTCTCAAAGGCGTATGTAATTCTATGCAATAGCAAGCGTTTTTCACCCATGAATTTATTGTAAGCCGCATGCCTTCAAAAAATGCAGTTCTCCTGGAGAAGCAAAGTTCGTGCAATTTTTGCTGTTGAAGACAACATAGGATCCGGTGGAAGGAGCAGCATGTCTCTGGAAAGTGCAATAAATTTGCCACTGCGATTGCGATGGTAGACTATAATGCGTGTTTCTTTCAAGAATCACAGAGAATTAATCATGTTTCTGCATTCAAGTCATATTCAAGAATTATAAAACAACAACACTCTCACAGCGGGGTGGTTTCTTTCAAAAGAGGGATCGAAGCCAAGTTGGAGCACTATTGCGACGTAAAACGCGCAGGGATCTAAGTAAAATTTCCATGTTCGAGCTGCCATCACAAAGAACTTGAGCAATCAAAGCGCTGCGGCGCCAGTATTCCTTAAACAAGTTGATGTGTGTGTGTGTGCCTTGTCTGATAAGATTTAACATATCCGGCAGGATGGCTTGACTGGAAGCGCCTGGGGTGACTGGGCCAACTACACAGCTTCGCCTTTGCGTGCCTTCGAGAATGAACTCGGCGTGCAGGCCCCAGTCGGATTTTGGGATCCAGCAGGATTTACGGCGGACGGAAGCGTGGAGAACTTCAAGCGACGTCGCCAGACAGAACTTAAGCATGGAAGAATCTCAATGTTGGCTACAATGGGATATATTACACCGGAGATCACAGGCAAATTTCCGGGCTACTTGTCTCCATCAGCCGGCTTGAAGTTCGCCGATGTGCCTAATGGTTTGGCTGCCATCTCCAAGGTCCCAGCCGCAGGACAGGGTTTCATACTGGCTCTGAAAATCACGTCCGCATCATCATCATCATCATCATCATCATCATCATCATCCTCGTCGTCGTCGCCGGCGGCGTCGTCGTCCTCGTCCTCGTCCTCGTCGTCGTCATGATCATCATCATCATCATCATCGTCATCATCATCATCATCATGATCGTCATCATCATCATCATCATCACCATCACCATCACCAGCGCCATCATCATCATCATCATCATCATCATCATCACCATCGGCAGCATATTTTCAAACTATGCTCTGTTTCACTTCGCGGATGTGCCCGTGGATACAATCATGCCACTATGAAACAATTTTTCCTCTCACAACATATAAAAACGGGAAGAGAATTATTTGGTGATTTTTTTTCGGGTCAGTTCGGGTATTTTTTTCAGATTCCTGTTTCCGTTATATCTGGAGCATTTGGAAGTGCAGTGGTGCAGTGGTGCAGTGCTCCTGCTGCTGCTGGTGGTGGTGGTGGCGGCGGCGGTGGTGGTGGTGTTGTGCTGTTGTGCTGTTGTGCTGTTGTGCTGTTGTGCTGTTGTGCTGTGTCGCTGTCGTCGCTGTCGGCGCTCTCGTCGCTGTCGTCGCTGTCGTCGCTGTCGTCGCTGTCGTCGCTGTCGTCGCTGTCGCCGCTGTCGTCGCCGTCGCCGCCGCCGCTGTCGTCGTCGTCGTCGTTGTTGTTGTTGTTGTTGTTGTCGTTGTTGTCGTGGTTGTGGTTTTTCTTGTTTTTGTTTTTGTTCTTGTTTTTGTTCTTGTTCTTGTTCACGTTCTTGTTCTTGTTCTTGATGGTTTGTTTATCTCCAAAAGTGCATGTAAACAATGTTACGTATCTATATGTAAATTAGTGGGGCGGCTCATTGTCGAACATGAAAAGCGGCTCAATTTGGAACACAAACCATGGAAACCATGCAAACCGCGTAGAAACTATAGAAACATGAAAACTGCATGGAAACCATTTTAGCCATGGATTTTCAGGTTTTGGGGTTGGGTGGTGGGTGGGGGTGCTACTGTTGGGGTTTACGGGGTGGAAGGGGTGGGAGTTGGGGGGATGGGGTTAGGGGCTCGAAGGTTGTAATTTGATGTTGGTGCTGATGCTGATGCTGATGCTGACGTTGGTGGTGGTGGCGGTTACAAATCTCATCTCAAATCCCTATAAACAGATTGATGACCAATCCCTTTTATGGGAAACTAACCAGTGTTTTCACCATGGTACACATAAAATAAAAGAAGTAGAGGAAAAAAACAACAAAACAAAACAAATAAAGCAGAAAGACCCGGCAGCACAAAAGCAGAGGAACGAAAGCAGACAAAGGCACAGAAGCAAAGAAACAACAAAACAGGAAAGCAGAAAAGCAAACAAGCAGAGAAGCAGGGAAAAACCGAAATGCAAAAACAAAAAATAGAGAAACACAAACAGAAAAATTAACACGGAAAAAAACACCCTAAATGATTCAAAAAAACAAAAAAAAAAAGGGTCTAACAAAAAAGGCGAAAAAAAATAAAACTACCCCGAAAAAAAAAAAAAAAAACCTTCCCAAAACTCTCTATATATACGGTGACAGCATTTAAATATGTGGAGGGCGGCCCAGACCACGAGGCCCCGGAGGTAGTATGAAAATGTATGATATACCAGTTCGCATATTTAAATGTAGTTGCCGTATGTTTAAATGAATGGGATTCCGTATGTTTAAATGGCCGGGCGGGCCAAGAAAAATTTTCCCAGAGGTAGTCTTAAATAACTGTTCGTATATTTAAAAGTCCGTATATTTAAATGTAGTTACAGTATGTACATTTATAAAATATAATAAATATATATATATAATTCATTAATTATCCCTCAACAAAGACTGTAACATGTTGTTTGTGTGATTTACATTGATTTACGTGAGTTTGTTTGGCCCAATATTGAGACCTTGGAGGATGGGGCCAGATCTTGGCATACATGGCCTTCTGCGAGGTTTCCCAGGACCAGTCTCCTGGAACTCCTGCTGCCGCAGGCGACTTTGGATTCAAGGTGTTGACTGCTTCTGACCCTGCTGAGAAAACCAAGAAGCTCTCCGCCGAACTTGCTAACGGAAGACTGGCGATGATGGCCATCATCGGCATGTTCTTTCAGGCCACCAAACGTTTGCACGCAGTTTGCTTCGGATAGAGTGGCATGGAGTAATGGCTAATGCTTCTCAATGTTCTGGCTAGGAAAAAAAATTGCCATGTTCGAGTTGCCATCACAAAGAACTTGAGCAATCCAAAGCGCTGCGGCGCCAGTATTCCTTAAACAAGTTGATGTATGTGGTTTTTCCTGATAAGATTTAACATCTGGGGCAGGATGGCTTGACTGGAAGCGCCTGGGGTGACTGGGCCAACTACACAGCTTCGCCTTTGCGTGCCTTCGAGAATGAACTCGGCGTGCAGGCCCCAGTTGGATTTTGGGATCCAGCAGGATTTACAGCGGACGGAAGCGTGGAGAACTTTAAGCGACGTCGCCAGACAGAACTTAAGCATGGAAGAATCTCAATGTTGGCTACAATGGGATATATTACACCGGAGATCACAGGCAAATTTCCGGGCTACTTGTCTCCATCAGCCGGCTTGAAGTTCGCCGATGTACCTAATGGTTTGGCTGCCATCTCCAAGGTCCCAGCCGCAGGACAGGGTTTCATACTGGCTCTGAAAATCACGTCCGCATCGTCATAATCATCATCATCATCATCGTCATCATCATCATCATCATCATCGTCATCATCATCATCATCATCATCATCAAAATCATCATCATCATCATCGTCATCATCATCGTCATGATCATTCTCATGATCATCATCATCATCATGATCATCATCATCATCATCATCGTCATAATGATCATCATTATTATCATCATCATCAAAATCATCATCATCATCATCATCATCATCATCAAAATCATCATCATCATCATCATCGTCATAATGATCATCATTATTATCATCATCATCAAAATCATCATCATCATCATCATCATCATCATCATCAAAATCATCATCATCATCATCATAATCATCATCATCATTATCATCATCATCACCACCAGCATAATCATTATCATCATCATCATCATCATCATCAGCATCATCATCATCATCATCATCGGTTTCATCATCATCATCATCATCATCATCATCACCATCATCATCATCAACATCATTTTCATCTTCATCTTCACCATCACCATCACCATCACCATCACCGTCGTCGTCATCATCATCGGCATCATGGTTTAGAACTTTGATTTGTTTCACTTCACGGATGTGCTCGTGGATACAGTCATGCCACATCATGCCACTATGAAAGAACCATAAAGAACCTTTATATATACGGTAACGACATTTAAATATGTGGAGGGCGGGCCAGACCGCAAGTCCCCGGAGGTAGTATGAAACACCAGTTCGTATATTTAAATGTAGTTGCAGTATGTTTAAATGACTTGGATTCCGTATGTTTAAATGGCTGGGCGGGCCGAGGAAAACCTTCCCGGAGGTAGTCTAAAATACCTGTTCGTATATTTAAAAATCCGTATATTTAAATGTAGTTACCGTATATATATATATATGCAAATTCTCTTTATGTATTTACCTATATATATATATATATATATACTGTAACTGTATATATATATACATATGTATCACTATATATATATGTTTATTTATTTACTTATAGTTCATTATCCCTCAACATAGACTAACATGTTGTTTGGCTGATTTACGTGACTTTGTGTGGCCAATATTGAGACCTTGGAGGATGGGGCCAGATCTTGGCATACATGGCCTTCTGCGAGGTTTCCCAGGACCAGTCTCCTGGAACTCCTGCTGCCGCAGGCGACTTTGGATTCAAGGTGTTGACTGCTTCTGACCCTGCTGAGAAAACCAAGAAGCTCTCTGCCGAACTTGCTAACGGAAGACTGGCGATGATGGCCATCATCGGCATGTTCTTTCAGGCCACCAAACGTTTGCACGCAGTTTGCTTCGGATAGAGTGGCATGGAGTAATGGCTAATGCTTCTCAATGTTCTGGCTAGGAAAAAGTTTTGCCATGTTCGAGTTGCCATCACAAAGAACTTGAGCAATCCAAAGCGCTGCCGCGCTGGTATTCCTTTTGCACGTTGATGTATGTGGTTTTTCCTGATAAGTTTTAACATCTGGGGCAGGATGGCTTGACTGGAAGCGCCTGGGGTGACTGGGCCAACTACACAGCTTCGCCTTTGCGTGCCTTCGAGAACGAACTCGGCGTGCAGGCCCCAGTTGGATTTTGGGATCCAGCAGGATTTACAGCAGACGGAAGCGTGGAGAACTTTAAGCGACGTCGCCAGACAGAACTTAAGCATGGAAGAATCTCAATGTTGGCTACAATGGGATATATTACACCGGAGATCACAGGCAAATTTCCGGGCTACTTGTCTCCATCAGCCGGCTTGAAGTTCGCCGATGTGCCTAATGGTTTGGCTGCCATCTCCAAGGTCCCAGCCGCAGGACAGGGTTTCATACTGGCTCTGAAAATCACGTCCGCATCGTCATAATCATCATCATCATCATCATCATCATCATCATCGTCATCATCATCATCATCCTCATCGTCTTCATCATCATCATCATCATCATCATCATCATCATCATCATCAATCATCATCATCAGGCATCATCATCATCATCATCATCATCATCATCAATCATCATCATCAATCATCATCACCACCATCACCATCACCATCACCATCACCAGTCATCATTCATCATCATCATCATCATCATCATCATCATCACCAGCATCATCATCATCATCATCATCATCATCATCGTCATCATCATCATCATCATCATCAATCATCAATCATCAATCATCAATCATCATCATAATTATCGATCATCAAGCATCAATCATCAATCATCAATCATCATGCGTCCTACCTTTAAAACGTGTTTTGGTGGTGGAGCCAGGTTCTGGAATATTTTTCCGGAATAATTTTATGTTTTGTATTTTTTGTTGACATCAGCTAACAAGAATCATAGCAAAATAATTTATGGACCCGTAACCTCCTGATGAGGCAAAATAATGTTCCACTTACAGAAGTTGAAGCACCTTGAAATAATTTTAATAATTGACTGAAGGCACCCCGAAATACCCTCTCAGTTGGACAGGGGATTTTTTTTCACAGAGTTCCAACTGTATAGAATAATTTTGCCAGGTTAGGCTATTGATTTCATGGGGTGGTCTACTGGTACCCCCACCCCCAAAATAATTTATTGGGGAGAAAGGAGTCGATTCAGATTTCTTTGTCCAAAAGTCGATAATAAGTGGTTCAGTAGTGCCACCACCCCCAAAATAATCAGGTTCTCATGGATTGATTCTTTGAGACAGTTTGGGTCAATTCGGATCAATTTGGTATTTTTGACCTATTCCACGGGAAGTTGAATTTTGCCAGGTTAGGTTAATTGGTTTCCTGGGGTGGTCTACTAGTACTCCCACCCCCAAAATCATTGTCTGGTGTGAAAGGGGGTCGGTTTAGAGATAATTTATTTGATTTGTGGTGCCACCACCTCTGTTTTTTTTCCACGCTTTTGCGGCTGCCCTGCCAGGCGGCATCAGTCGGCATTGGATGTTGTTGGTTATGATTTTGAGGTGGCCCTTCTGTTTTTTCAATCATCCATAACCATCTTCCACCACCTCGAAATAATTCAAGTTTTTTTTGAGGCAAGGGAACTGTTTTGAGTAATAGCGAAACCGCCTCCAAATAATTTGTTATCAACCTCTCAGAAATTATTTTGAGGGGGTGGGTAGTGTCAAAGGAAATTATTTTGGGGTGGGGTATAGTGTTTTTGAAAAATATGATTTTGAAGTGCCTCCTAACTAAAAGCACCTCTGATTATTTTTAAAATTATTTTGAGGGGGCACCTAGTGCTTTTGCTTATGGTAGCCCGCATCAATCATCAATCATCAATCGTCGATCGTCAATCATCAATCATCCATCATCAATCATCATCATCATCATCATCATCATCGTCATCCTCATCATCATCATCATCATCATAATCATTAGTAATCATTCATCAGTCATCATTCATCATCCATCATGCATCATTCATCACTCATCATTCATCATTCATACTCCATCATTCATTATTTATTATTCATCATTCATCGTTCATCTTTTATCGTCACCGTCCATCAACCATCATCCATCATCCATCATCATCATTATCACCATCGTCATCATCATCATCATCATCATCTTCGTCGTCATCATCATCATCACCCTTGTCGTCATCATCACCGGCATCATGTTTTAAAACTATGGTCCGGTTCACTTCGCGGATTTGCTCGTGGGTACAATCATGCCATTATGAAAAAATATTCCCTCTATTTTCTAAAAATTATTTATATGTACATATATCATATCATATCATTTTGTTTTAATACAATATAATATCATGTCATTTTATATGATTCAATATTTTTCAATATAAAGTAATATAATTTGATAATTTTATTTATAATATAATTTAATGTACTTTAATAAGATTTAGCTGAATATCATGAAATACAATGTAATATACTGATTTAATATAATATGATATACTACAATATAAAATAATATATTTAGAAATATGTTTAAAAATGTACATGTATTTATTTATTTGTTTATCTATTTATTTATTTATTTATTTATTTATTATATACATACATATTTATTTTTATTTTTATACGTAGTATAATTGTATATTTGTATATTTTTGATTATATATATTTATTTAGTTCATTAAAAATTCACTATCCCTCAACATAGACTGTAACATGTTGTTTGGCTGATTTACGTGACTTTGTTTGGCCCAACATTGAGACCTTGGAGGATGGGGCCAGATCTTGGCATACATGGCCTTCTGCGAGGTTTCCCAGGACCAGTCTCCTGGAACTCCTGCTGCTGCAGGCGACTTTGGATTTAAGGTGTTGACTGCTTCTGACCCTGCTGAGAAAACCAAGAAGCTCTCTGCCGAACTTGCTAACGGAAGACTGGCGATGATGGCCATCATCGGCATGTTCTTTCAGGACAACAGATATCACACAGTTTGTTTCCATGGAGTGGGACAGAGTTTCCCCCTCAATGTTTCGGCTTTGAAGGACAGCAACGCAACCTGGCCTTGGATTTATTGACAAAGTGTACGTCAACAGAGATGGGACATATTTTCTTGAAACAGTTTTGCATGCCAAAGTTTCCATGCAACTGTTGACGGACAGCGACATTGATGGTGCCACATGCAAACCCTTAGCTGTCAAAGGCATAACATGTATCTTAGCAGTTTTTAACAACCACATGTGATTCTTTTTACCACATACGTACATGGTGTGCCCATGCAGATTTCATACTTCAGGAGTGACTTTTTACAAATGGGGGTGACTTCTTTCTAATCGGGTGTGCCCATGTGCGGGGGTGACTTTTTACAGATAGGGGTGACTTAACGCGACCACCAAGTAGTGCTGGTGAGATTGGTTGGACCATTGCCCAGCATTGGTTTGGGAATGGAATTGGTTCACAGGCGTTTGACCCTCCAAAATTTGGATAACGCAGCAATCCTTAACAACAAACCATGAGGACAAACATGAGCAACGAGCCCAATTTAGGCAGTGAAAAACATGTTTGCGTTGTGTTGATCCTTTGCAGGGCTATCCAAGCCAGGCTGCTACCCCCGCCGCAGGATGGTTTGACGGGAAGCGCATGGGGGGACTGGGCCAACTACACCGCTTCCCCATTGCGGTGAGGCCGGGACTGTGGACCGCTTGGAAGACCATGGAAGACCTCTAAGAGGTGAAAGATGGTGAAAGTGTCGAACCAGGATGAAGGGTTAATCTCGGTTAATTAATCCTGGTTGCTTCAGTGTGCGGAAATCTCACACGGAATCACACGGAGAAAATCGGACATTTGTTTGTGTTTTTTGTACGACATAAAAGAGTTCCTACATGTTCCATCATGTTCCTACCACAAGGGAACTCCTTTCAGATTCGCGTAGGCTCAGCATATGGTTCTGTCCAATCAGCATATGTGCGGGTATATATATAGTCTCCTTTGCGATCCAATGTTGAAAATTCTACAGGTAGCCGACTGCATACGGAACATCTTGGACAAACATCATTTCACGGAGCCAGCAGCGAAACCATTTCAAGCCAAAGTGCAACCGCGTAAGCGACCGCTGCATCCCTGGTTGCCTTCCTTAGCCACCGGCGTAAAGGCCCCCAAGCATGAAAAAAGATGCCCAGGTTTGACATGGTTTGTGGACTGACTTGAAAAGTCAATAAACACCGAATGTCCTGGTGCATTGAATGTTTCGCCACTTCGTTGGAGATTTCACCACTGAGGTTGCAGAGCCACGAAAACCCACATTTAAACCAATCAAGTAGAGACTGTAGAGATGGTAAGAATTTTCCCTCTTTATCAATGAATGCAATCCTGAATTACATTTGACACCCATGTTCTCATTTTACATACATATAATATCATATAATTACAATATGTAGATATCAAAATCACATTTCACTATTTAGAAATATGTAAATGCAGATGTATATTTATATGTTTGTGTATGTGTATGTATGTGTACATGTATATGAACATGCATTTGTAGATGTATATGTATGTAACTATGTATGTAATTTATGTACATATATTATTATCTATGTGTATATGTATGTGTATATGTATGTGTATATGTATATGAATATGTATTTGAATATGTATATAATTATGTGAATAATTATGTATATGGATATGTAGATGTGTATGTATATAATTATGAATATGATTATGATTATGTAGATATTTATATGTCTATAATTATGTATATATATGCATGTATATGTGCACGTACATTGTACATTGTACATATACATGTATGTGTATGTGCATGTGTATGTGCATGTGCATGTGAATGCGTATATGTGTGTACTTGAATGCTTGTATTTATGTTGCCGCTGGACCGAATAACGTGCTGGTAGGATCACCGTTTCTGGTGACGGGGTGGGGCGGGGTGGGGTGGGGTGCGCTATTAACCTTCCTTTTCAGCAACTTCCAACTACGTTCTTGATGCTACGCTACTAACTCGCTGCTCAAACAACTTTCAAGTACCCTTGCAAGGTTCCTTTGCAACAACCCCCTACTTCGCCCTTGTTGCTACGCTACTGACTTGCTCAAAAGATGTCCAACTACATCCTTGATCCTACGCCACCAACTTTCTCAAACAACTTCCGCTACATTCTTGATGCTACGCCGCTACGCTACTTACTTGCTCAAACGACTCTCAAGTACACTCTTAATGGTCCTATGCAACAACTTCGTACTACCTTCCTGGTGCTGCGCTTCTCACTCGTTCGATCAACTTCCAACGTTGCTCTGAATGCTACACGCCTACTTGTATGTAATTTCCCCATAGCAATGGAGATATGTCACCCTCCATGCCAACTTGAGAAAAACCATCGAGACTTTGAAACGCATCTTGGTGGCTCAAGAGGCCGATGAAAAAAGGCTAGCACTTTGGCACAACTCGAATTCCACCAAGTTGATCCAAGTTGGGGATTCTATTTTTGTACCCTTTTCAAAATATGGAATTCGCGTTTTGCCACAGTGCCAGCGTCATTTAAAGAAAACACATGTTTTTCTGAGCACGGTTTCATGTCCGGCGGTGTGTTTATGTATATGCAGCATATGCATATGTATATGCGAACGGTATTGCGTGGTATGTGATTTGTTTTCCTTTGTCAGTAATTATGCACAATGTTTGCCTTTCCCCAACATGGTGACCACCGCTCTGGTGCGGCTTGCAGGTCTGAATTAGAAATGCAGCAGTAGCAGCAGCAATCGTGGAGGAACATGGGGTTATCCCTTAAAAAGTGCTGCTGTCGCGAGTGCTGCTGTTGGTCAGGTTGGGATGGTTTCTTTCAACTATATTTACCCTACAGAATTTCATTCGCCAGTGGATTGTGAGCTTACTTGTTGTCTTGGGCCTGGCACTGGTTGTTCAGCAGTTCAGAGTTTAGAACAAGCCTGATTACTGATTAGTGATATTATAGATGGAGACCAGAAAAGGGTTGATAATTAGTTGATTATTGTTGGCAGCCGGTGCCTTTCCGCATTCAGGGTCTCAAGCATTTTCGCAAAGGCATCAAGGGCCCCAACCATGGGACATAAACCCATTCATCGTGCAAACCGGCAAACCGTATACTACGCCGCGAACGAAATCCAAGCGTGACTTCCGCATTCTGATGATTCATTGTCGCTAAAGCTTCGAACATCAACGTCTATCGAGTCTATCTGCAGCGTCAAGAACTTTCAAAATACGTGTCACTACTTGGAAATTGGAGAGGATCCCATTTTGGTCACTTAAAAACAGACCACGTCCAAACGGATTGCTTTGTGGATCACGGCAGCTTGTTGGAATTTCTCGCTTAGTGATGCCTAGTGAATGCAGGAAGGGCAGAGTTACGGTGATATTTGCGGTCCAAGGCAATCCCTTCCCCTCAAAGGCAAACCAACAGGATTTGCGCCTGGGTTCTTCATGCTGTGCACACCATCCTCATCATGATCATCATCACTATCATCATCAGCGACTCGATCATCACCATCACCACGAACATTTTGATAATGATAATTAAATATAGGTAAACATTGTTAAACCTACTTAATAATCTAGATGTAACCATTAATGGTTAACATTATAATTTGTAGTATTATATAATTATTACAGTAATGTAATATAATATAATATAATATGATATAATATAATATAATAGAATAGATTAGAATAGAATATAGCATCATATCATATAATATATGATAATATATTATAATATGATATATTATAATCAGATATAATATAATACAATATAATACAATATAATATTATATTATATTGTATAATATTATATAATATTTCATTATGTAATATAACATAATAATAGCACATCTATTATATTTCAAACATATTATAGTATACAGTAATATATATATATATAATATATAATAGTACAATAGAATATAATATAATACATTAATAATATAGTGACTAGTGTAACATGATATTGTATAAGCATCATCATCATCATCATCATCATCATCATCATCATCATCACCACCGTCATCATCATCACCACCATCATCATCATCATCAGCAGCAAAGAATGTTTCGTTGTAAAGTATGACGTGCGAAATTGTTCGAAAACTGATGGCTAGCGCTGCAGTAGAGAAGAGAGATGAACAAAGAAGGCGCAAAGTACAGTATAGAAAAGGGTAGGAAGAGAGGTACAGCGGAGTGAACGACAAAACATAACGTGGCAATGGCGTGAGACTACATGACATGACAAGCAGCTAGTTCAAGAGGTCTTTCAAGAGAAGATCTGGACCCAGATACGAGCTAGCTCACAGCAAGGTTCCTATCAGAAACTTGCGCCGCTGCAAGTGTGTTTCGCCCAGCTTTCCGGACAGATTTCGGACAGCTGGGCGTTTTGAGGAAATACTGGTATTTAACCGCGATAGAATCTTGATGGTGGGGAAGCTGAAAAACCCGCTACAGCACAGCCAAAGCCACGCACAAACCAACAGCAGGAAATATAATATGGAAATATAATGAAATATAGTATAAATATATAGAATCTATATAGAAATCGAAACACAATAAATCTTTATTCAAATCAAATGTGTTGCGCACACAATGGAATTCACGTTGTTGGGTGCCACATTGTCGAGGGCGCTTTACTGTGGCACCCTGCTGTAGCCACCTGTGAAAGCCTGACACCGTATACCCTCGCCCTGAGAAGGATTTGCCTCGAGTATCCTGTTGGTAACCCGGTATTTACAGCAGACACTCTGCAAGCGTTTCTCGTACTTACTACATATGTTCTTTGGCCCGATCCGAAGATGCCGCGTCATATCTAGACCGAACACGCCGCTCTTTGTTCGGTGATTTGAGCTGTCATTGCAGGCCTAGCACCGTTCGCCATTGCCAAGCAGACGTAAGTATGATACAGCGGTACGACTCAGCCGGTCTCCTGCTACTGCTACGAGCACCGACGCCTTGCATGGCAAACCCTGTTGCGCTTTGTAAAGGACCTTCGGCAAAAGTCAAGGGAACGCACACATCCTTGCACAAAGTGTCATGACACATCCAGACACCATGGACTTTGAAAATGAAAATGAGTGTTGAAAAGATGCCATCTAAATCCCCAGACCCATGGAACTTCAAAGTGACCATCAGTGATCACAAGGGTAAAATGAAATTTCGAAATTATCATCAGTGTCCACATAGGTGCATCAAATCCCACCCCCATGGAAAGTTGACTGTCAACGTCTACAGGTTGACATGATGCGAATTTCCAACGTTTCAAAATCCAGGTTTCAAACGTCACAATCCATTTTCAGAGATTCGCAATCTTAGTTTCAGAACGGCACCTCACGCTTTCACAATAGGACTCCCAAGTTTCACAAGCCAAGTCTCAGCGCTTTTACATGCTCGAAAAAACTATGTTGTTCCAAAAGGCACTTTCTACAAAATGTTGTGCGTCGTCCAACATGATGCTCATAGCAAATGGCCGGGCTATAAGTACTGGGGGGCCAACTCTAATTTTCAGCATGCAATTGGCAATGACTACTTTTTTTTTAATGCGGGACGCAAACCTCATCAAAACGTAGAGCGAACGCAAACGGGCATCAACATGCAACATGGTGTCCTTTTCCTTCGCTGCAAAGGGTCGCCTGCGTTTTAAAAGGGTTTGGAGTTTTTGGACTAAACTTGGTATCGTGCGGTGGCAGGAAACTTGGTAGTAAAATGTAAAGGTCTTGCCCAGCGCCGCGACCGGCAGCACAACCACGCCACAAAACGCTCGACGACAGCACGAAAAACGCTCTTTAAAGGCGTTGCGCCTACCCCCAATGCCTCTATCCATTTGAGATCCATACAGCGCCAGCACCGGCACCAGCACCAATTATTTCGGGGGGGTGGTTGGTTTCAAAATGATTTTGGCCAAAATATCAACATCCTTCTGATCATTTTCGGCGCAGAAGAAAAAGGTGGAATCACCTCTCAGGCCAGTGGAGGGTTACCAGTGCAAATTCAATTTCGGTTGCAAAACCCAGGAGCGCAAGTCGTAAAAAAATCGGAGTGTCATGGAAAACAAATCGAGTTTCTAGGGTGCATTTGAATGCATTTGGTGGAATTGTGTGTCATGTCATGTCGTAATGGGCGTATATTAGATACTTCCATGTTGTAGAGTTTTTGTTGCATATGCCACGTTTGGTTTTCTCTTGTGTAGCGGCCCCATGCCCATTTTTTATGAGTGATTAGGAAATTGTTTCATCAGGAGGCAGCAAACATTAAAAAAACATTTAAAAAAAAAACTACAATGAGGATCTGGACATCTGCAAGCTACGAAAGCACCTTGAAAACGATGGAATGATGGCCGTATTGTTGCGCAAAGCACCGACATGCAGTATGTTTTTTTTTGATTATATAATTTAATGTTTTTAGGAATATATATTGTTTTTTTCATTTTTTCCCCATGCGTGTTGAATATGTTTAGCACGGTATGGGTTTCGTTTGGATCGCTTTAACTTTGCCACCAAAGCGAAACACTGCCTAAAATATGGACCCATGGTAGCAAACAACACCAATGCCTGAAGAAAAAGACACTTCTTTGCAAATGGGATCACGATGAAACGGACAATCAACAATTGTTTCTTATATCCCCTTAGGAATTATATATATGGGAGCCGTCCGTAAAAGCAGGTCACAAATTTATGAATTGATGCGTTTACTTTGCTTTGCGCGATTGCTAAAACCTGCATCGCGATAGGCTGAGCGATTGGTTGGCGATTGGTTATACGGCTACCACCCTATTACTACTACTACTACTACTACTACTACTACTACTACTGCTAGTACTGCTAGTACTGCTAGTACTGCTAGTACTGCTAGTACTACTACTACTACTACTACTACTACTACTACTACTACTACTACTACGACTACTACTACGACTACTACTACGACTACTACGACGACTACTACGACTACTACGACTACGACTACTACTTCTACTACTACTACTACTACTACTAGTACGAGTACGAGTACGACTACTACTACTACTTCTACTACTACTACTACTACTACTACTACTACTTTCGAGACCAGAACCATGCCAATATTTGACATGGCCGCGCGGATCGCGCGGAATCCGCGCAGATGTTTTCAGGTCAGAAGGACATTCAAGCTAGCTCCAATTGAAAACAGGTCAGAAACAGGTCAGAAACACCAAAAAGGCAGCACTTGCCTAGCATCCCATCCATCCATCCATCCATCCATCCATCCATCCACCTCAGCTCTTATCATTGCTACTTCTACTATTACTATTACTGCTTCTACTACTCCTCCTCCTCCTACTACTACTACTACGACTACTACTACCACTACTACTACTACTAGCACTAGTACCAGTATTTGGGGCACTAGTAATGATATTACTTTGACGATCACTAAAACCTAGTTTGACTGCCCGTGCTGATTTTTTTGAAGTTGAAGAAGACTCCGGGAAAGGTCAGAAACAGGTCAGAAACAGGTCAGAAACACCAAAAAGGCAGCACTTGCCTAGCATCCATCCATCCATCCATCCATCCATCCATCCATCCATCCATCCATCCATCCATCCATCCATCCATCCACCTCAGCTCTTATCATTGCTACTTCTACTATTACTATTACTACTATTACTACTATTATTACTATTACTACTATTACTACTATTACTACTATTACTACTATTACTACTTCTACTACTACTACTACTACTACTACTACCACTACTACTACTACTACTACTACTACTACTTTTACTGCTA